ATACTCATCGGATTTAATCGAAATAGGCACCATTCGAATCAGCACACTTTTGCCAATGTGACAGCAGTCGATCCCATCAAAAAAAACTGGGTGGTCGAGAATCCACGAAATCTACGAAGGCTTTTTTGCCTGGTCCTGATTGATGAAGTATTTTCCAGCAAGGAAGTTCTGAAAATGTTTGAAAAGGTGATAGTCGGTTGGTGAAAGGTCTGGAGAATATGGCGGGTGAGGTAGAACTTCAACCCCCAATTCGTTCAATTTATGGATAGTGATTTGTGAAACGTGTGGGCGGGCGTTGTCATGCAAAGGAATCGGACCCTTTCTTTTGATAAGTGTTGGCTGCATCTGACAAAATTTTCGGTACAATTCGTCGATTTCTTCACAGTAGGGTTCTGCTGTGATGGTTTGGCCTGGTGATAAAAAGTTATAGTGGATCACACCAGCCGATGACCACCAAGCCGTGACCAGAATCTTTTTTTCGTGAGGGTTCGGCTTTGAAAATTACCTCGGTGGTTCGTCGAAATCCAACCACTGTCCGGAACGTCTCCTGTTATCATACATGACCCATTTTTCATCACAGGTGACAATTCGGCCCAAAAACAGGTCGTTTCTGCTGCGCAAAAGCAATGCAGAAGGAACCTCGAGACGTGCCGATTCCTGCCGGTCACTCCGATTGTGGGGCACCCAATTGTCGAGTTTTTTCACCTTCCCAATGCGTTCCAGACCATCTGCAACAGTGGATTTGCCAAGGCCTAGCTCTTCTGCTATCTCTCGAACTGTTTGGGATGGGTCAGCCTCCAAAATCCCCCTAAAATCCTCGTCAGATATTGCTTTAGGTCGACCGCTATGAGGTTCATCTTCAAGGCTGAAATCTCCAGAACGAAATTTGTTGAGCCATTGCCGCACAGTGCTTTCTCTAGCACTATTGGGCCCCCACACCTGGTTAATTTGTTGAGCTGTTTCGATTGCGGATTGCCCCAATTTATAGTCGAAGAAAAAAATCGTCCGAAGTGCTCTTTTCACATGCTTGAAAAAATCTTGAAAAAAGGGGGTTTATCAAGCAATGGTGAAACGGCAATTATACCATCAGATAGCGCAAGAAATTCTCTACAGGATGTGCTACTGAGA